AATCGCAGCTGAGACTTAACAAGAATATGAGCAGACAGCTTGTTAGCATGATTCACATTAAACTCAAGCTCTAATTCTGGAAGCAAATGTGTAAAAATGGTAAGAGTCAGTAGGCTTGATGTTTATGTACTCAATGCAAAAATTGAAAAAATAATCAAAGTTGTTAATGGTGGTAAGGAAAGATGAGAATGCAATTCAACCTGACAAGTCTCAAGAACAATATAGCTGTCTGTTTACTTAGCTCAATGATAGTGATATTTCAAAATTGGAGTTTGATTAAATTCATTCAGTATTTTCTGTTATTTATTTCGCATAAGTCTCAAGTCCCATGTCAAGACTGGCAGTCTTAAATTAAGTCCCAAGTCCTTTGAGTTTTAAATGCCAAGTCATATTGTGCTCCAATTTTGACCTACTCATTTTGCCTACTACAATTTATTTTGCTGACCACTGAACCATTTTTTGCAGGACAAAAAATTGTCTTGGGCATATTATTTTTTTTTAATAGCCACTTGGTAACATTGTTGTGGTCTTCTCCTTCAACTTGATTAAATGCTGTTGGTCCAAACAAGTTGATCTGTGGAATAATTGTGGACTGCATTGGAAATTAATGGCATTAAAATTGGCTCATACAGAAAATAAAAGGAAATGTAATAACTCTGGTCGACACCTTTGGTTTCTTACAAGTTAAATAAAACATGAATGTATTCAGTTGTGGACCTTACATGTCAAATTGTATAAGAGTATGTTTGGTGCAATCAGTGTAACACAGAGCTGAGATTAAAACAGTAGAGTTTGAAGGGGAGATTGTTAAAAGAGAAACCAACCTGCTGAAAAATCCCTCTCTGACCTTGTCTCACACACTCATTCACAGATGTTAAAGCCAACAGCAATTAGGATGAGCTCAGGGTTCCTCCTGTTCGTGGTGAACCTGTGCCAAAGTGCTGCTGCCCCGCCCACATCCGGGTAGCAGCAGGCTCGCAGCTGATTGGCTGCCAGGCTAAGTTTCACCAGTAACATTTCACCTGATAGGCTCTTACACCCACTGTGTGTGGACGCTGTGATGAATACTCTCAACTGATTGGCTCTTAGCCTGGAAGGTGTGTGCGCGCGTGTGCGTCTCATCTGTGGGCGTGCATGTACATAGGTCTGCTTTACAGAGTCAAACGCATGTGGGTGCCTTATAAATCCTGTCATCAAATATGTGTCGCAATTAATCATTAGGCTTATACCAATTCTGCACGTGTAGTCTGGTTTCCATGACAACACCCCCTTTTTTTCTGCAGACAACTTCCACGTGACACATCACACTGCGAGCTGGAGTCAGAGATGTCAGATGTTATCATCAAAGCCCTCTCGCTGTGATTTAAATGTGCTGATCTGAGAGCAGATCTTAAAGGTGCACATTGTGTCGGCCAACAGGTGACCTGCCAGTCAATAAAGAAGCGTGCTCCTGTGATTCACCTTTGTGATGCGGTGATATGCAACATCACAGGCCTCTGAATGAAACTGCGCCAATGAAACGCACAATATGCCGGTTAATAGGCTGTGTATTGTGTCGCTATAGGCTATATCCCATCATAATGCGCAGTGAATCACAGCAGCCTGCGCCTTATCGTGCAGCAAAGAGCAACGCATGCTTACCTCATCCTCCCCTCCTGTCCGCTTCAATGAGATGGATAATGTATGATCAGTGCCCTTGAGTCGTAGTAAAAAGGGTCCAGCAGCAGCACCTCTGGGTGTTTGGATACAAACAGCGGCGGTGCCGGAGGAGCCTGCAGCCGGCGGGGTGTACAGATGTTGAGGTCTGGAAAAGGCGACAGGGTGTGGAGAATGCTACACGGATGCCCACAGTTTTTAGGTCTGTCTTTTAAAAAACGTCAATTATAAAAAAAAATTCTCCTGTGTCTCGTTCGTCAGGCGGCTGGTGGTTCGGTGGAGGCCATCTCAGAGGGGAGCACGCCGTCCGCAGGTCGAGAAGCCGGGCGGAGTGGCTGACAGCGGCTTCTGAGGTGCCATCTTTTCCTCCCTGCAACCACTGGGAGGCTGGATGGAGAGGGGAGAGGAGAGGGAAGGCGAGGGGGAGGGAGAGGGAGCAGGCTGCTGTAATATTAAGTGGAGATGGTTTTGCTGCACGGTAGCGCCCTCGGCCTGGTCATGCAGCTACTGTGCAGGCAGCATGTATGAAAAACAAACGCACACCGGCTTCTTCAAGAAAATTAAAAATGTAAATAACTTTTTTGTGTCAAAAAAATTATAATACTCAAGCTGTTCTGAAACAATTTATATATGTTCTATAATGCAAGTTAAAATGACAGTATACATTATTGTGTGTCAACTAAAACTGTGTATGATTATTTTGCATTAATTAATTTATTTATTTTAATGTAGCCTATTGTTTCTTTCTTTCTATATACTGTACAGCTAACAGCAGAATTGTTCAGCATCATTATTATCAACAATGTTGTTTGTAGCATATTATTTCTTTAATAATTAATATTCCATATTTTTATTTTCCATTTTCATTTTATAATTGAATATTTTTGTAGTACTGTAAATATTTTATTTATATTGTGATTACATTTTTCTTAATTTCTTTATAATTTAACAACTTTATATTATGGGTTTACTGTAACATATCCAATTTCTCCTAGAGAATCAATAAATGATTTCTTATTTTTTAAAACAATTACCAGCTTCACAGGAGCATTTATTTGTGACAGGTTTGGAACAATCTGTGCTGTTGTATTTGCTGTAAAGTGTCTCTACTGTAGGTTATTTTTATTTTATGTACAGCACTTTGGCTCGACCAAAAATCGTTTATAAATGTGCTATATAAATAAAACTTGATTTGATTTGATTAAAATTCTTTAAGCTTTCAAGACCCGTAGAAACAGTTTTACATTATTGTGTGATATTTCATCACTCCCTGTTCCTGTGTGATATTCCCATTTTAACCCTCTTACTGATGACTAAGTATATGCTGTATCTGTACAGAATCATACAGTAATTCAGTCTGTTCAGTAAAAAGCTGACGCAAGATAAAGCAGGAGATTTTATATAATAGAATTTTTTTTTCTTATAGTTTTAAATTAAACAGCTGCTATGTATCCCATCGCCCTGTTGTATGACACATCTTACACAAATCAAACCTGTGGCAGTTTTCCTTCTTACCAGGAGAGGTCCTCCTAACTTCCATGAACACAAGAACTACCTCTGTGGTTCATACAGTGGTAGGATCAGCTTATTGATCGTGAAAAAGTTCAGCCCGTGTTGTAAAGAAAGTGTTATTAAATCAGGGTCTCCATTTTATTTGTGACACTTTAATACCCACATGAATTTATCTTTCTCTTTTTGGGTCTGTGGCCTTTATCTCCACAGGAGGGTCACACGGATATAACATAAAGTACTCAGGTCAATTAGGCACCAGCCACTCACAACACTAACCCCACCTACACACACACACACACACACACACACACACACACACACACACACACACACACACACACACACACACACACACACACACACCACACACACACACACACCACACACACACACACACACACACACACACACACACACACACACACACACACACACCACACACACACACACACACACACACACACACACACACCACACACACACACACACACACACACACACACACACACACACCACACACACACACACACACACACACACACCACACACACACACACACACACACACTTACTTAGTTGCAAAATAAAAGTAAAAGTCCTCCCATTATTTATCATGTTTGAGACAATGAGACATTTTGACTGATTCTGGTACACTCTATTTATTGCTTAAAGTGGAACATTGACTACAAATCAACAACAAACATTACAGCACACAGGAATGAGAAAAACTCAGTGACACACACTCATTGACATCAAACACAACGCGCTCAAAGACGACTAAAGACACACATCGTCGCAGTAACATTAACAGTACAAGCGTTCGGTAAAACATACGCAGGTATGTGTGAAAAGGATTAATGACTACTATGGTCTCGGAGGAGGCTAAAAAAAGCACTAGAGCTGTCATGCTTTACTATCTTTGAAATATATAATCCTGCAATCAAACACTGCATTAACAAACGTGTTAGTGGAAATGTTCTGGAAAGCTGTAAGAACTGATGTTGCAGTACGTTAAAGCAGCACAGATTCACTACAGAGGAAAATCCAGTCAGAAGTGAATTCATTTCAAAATTGTATTTCTTGTTCTTTCAACATTGGAAGAAAGTCTTTATCGCCGTTTATGTTTAAGTGGTTAAATGAGGCTTTTAATAACACCCGTTTTGAACGTTATCAGGCCATTAAATGGTTGTTAGCAGTCGTTTTTTTTTCGTCAGAAGAAAGTTTAGCTTGCAATATTGAAAGTAGCAAGGTCGAGTGCAGAGACTGAGAGAACACAAAGAGGTAGTCAGAACAGCACATCGCACCGGCCTTGACTCTGTATGGGAGCCGCGCTCCCCCGCAAAGCTAGGAAGCAACATTTTGGTTTTCCACTATATCTGAAGAAACGTTAGAGAAAACAAATTAGTATGATGGTGCCAGAGTAGGGAGGGACTTCCACAGGCCGGCTGAATGCTGATTGGAGGATCGTGTTGCCAAGAGACTCTATCTGAGTCTGCACACCAACCAAAGAGAACCAAGTCTAAACCATGCAGCGACGTGCAGTCAGGGGAGGCAGGGGAGGCAGAGCCTCACCTGCAGGTTCTTGTTGCTACTGTTATTCTACGCAGAGACGGTAGACTAGACGCAAACAACAAGCTAGACTTTTGAAACTAGAGAAAGATAAGGAGGACTTTTACAAAAATGTAATGGAGATTGTTGTCCAGAAGGATAGCATGGACTTCATCTTCAAGACCACAATTGTAATGAACATGGGATCTTACTAAGAAAGAACAATCCAATATTTAGATTTTGGGTATCCTTTTGTTGAACTGTCTGTTTAAAATGAATCGAAGCATCAGACTAAAAAATCTTTTGAAAATAACCGAACATTTCGATTAAGGTCAAAATATAATATTTGTAAATCTGACTCTGAAAGAGTCAGTGCCTCACCAACCATGAACCTCACCGCACGTCACTGAAACCATGGTATCTCTTCAGCTAGTCTTGACCAATCAAAAATGTACGGGGAACGCCCTGTGTAATAAAATGTATTGTCGCACGAGGTTCGAGGCTCTTGACGGATTCGGTGGTTACAGATTACAGCTTTGCTGCCTGTGATTCCCAAAGACGTGATGAGTCCTTGGCCAAGTAATATATATATTTTGCTCTCTTTACAATAAATAGTTAAACTTAGAAGTTGTCTGTCTTTTCTGGAATTCTGAACCCAACAACCTTCAAACCTAACACTGTTAACAGCCATTTAATGCCCCAATTTAGAAACGGGTGTTTAACCATTTGTTTTGGTTCAGTAAACATGAAAGCAGGGATACATTCTGGCAAATCTTTCTCGGCCCTCCAGCCTCAGTAACAAATCTGGAAATACTGGCTGGGCGATTTGACAGGGCTCTTGTAGCTGGAAAAGTCGTGCTGCGCTGTGCTCTGGCTGGTTGTGGTTTTCTGCAGGTTTAAGATGAAGGACGGGCTCGTCTTCTTCGCCCCGGGCTTGCCGCCGCCCTTCGCCTGAGGGTTGTTGGGTGCAGCCGAGCCGCAGTTGGCAGGCACCTTGGAGGTAGATTTGGCGAACTCAGAAGATCCAGTCCTTCTTGTTAGGGGGCTCAGATAGATCTGCATAGTCACTAAGTGAAGTGGTGAAATGAGGTGAGGAAGGTGTGAGTGTGAAGACAAGGGGGAGGTCCGTCAGTGGGGAAGGGTTCAAACAAAGGTCAGAGGTCAGGTAGTGTGGATATTTAAAGAAGAGGTAAGGTTAAAACGAAAAAGACAGAAATAAGGGTGCAAGGGGTTAGGGGAAGGCACATAAGTCATGGTGAGATGTGACAAAAAATGAAGAATAAAATAACAGTTCCACTTTTCCAGATAGTGTGAATAAATATATAGGGATGAATCATACCTTTGCAGTGTGTCACACGGCTTGTCCCTGCACAGAAACAGCACACACACAGATTCACTTACATGCAGCATTGCCATGTCAGTATTTTGCTTAATCACTTGTGTTATCTCCTTTATTTAATAGAGGCTTAGAGAGCAGCGGATTCACTTTATTGTAATAAGGCTGCCATACAAATAACAACAGTGCTCACTCACCTCCACTCACTGCTGCTGGCTCCTTGGACTTGCTGCTGTAATAATGAGAGAAAGAGGGAAAAGAGTAAAAAATACAGCAACACCTAAAGAGGGTTTGTAAATCTGAGGGATCAGTGTCAGGATGACTTGCAGTTAAATGTCTTCTCTACTGACTTTGAGAATGTCATGTCTTTGGTTTGGGTTGTTTTCACATAATACAGGATGTCATGGGTGTGAATAACCTCAATTTGATTCTGACTTCATCTGTCACAAATAATTAGGTGACCCCAAAATCACTGAAAGTGTAAATAATTCATGCCGTGGTTTGCAAGAGTTGTAGGTGAATTCGTTTCATGGATAAATTTGCAAAAACGTTGTAAAACTGAACTTTTATTTGGCTATATAACCACTTACAACAAGACAAAAGAAAAGGCTATTGTGAATAACCCATTTCTTACCCTTCCTGAGGCTTCTTACTTGTGGAGGCTGTGGAGGCTGTGGAGGCTGTAGAGGTGGGGCGTTTGGTGGTCTTACCTGGACTGTCCTTCACATTACTGGCTGGGCTCCACACACCACTGGAAGGAAAATAAAAAAAGGAGGCTTTCATTTAAAAATGAGGTTTGAGAGTGCACTGCACTGTTGTTGTTTTTGGTGGCGCTTTTGTGTGCAGTTGCCATTTTTTGCAACAATACTCTTTAAGTACATTATTTCTTCAAACCTCAAAGAGATGGTTAAAGTAAAAACATATTTGACTTCTATAAAGTCACTGGCATTTTTTCATGAATGTTAACATTGAAATAAAGTGGTTTTAGTTGCAGGCTTAGAAATAACCCCTTGTGTCAAATGATTATCAAGACTTTAGTAAAGATAGTTTTACACACAGTACATGGTTTTTGTTCACACATTCAAGTGAAACATCACTGTAAAGTCAATTTTATATTTCTACAGGTGCAACATGTCAGATGAAATGACAAAATGTTTCACGCATCAATTCAAACATTTAATTTTATTGAAATAAAGTATTTCTTAAAACCCTTTATTTGAATTTAAAATAAAATGCTGTGGTGTTGAATAATGCTTAGCTGCAGACATGAGTGAGTGTGTTGCTGGATATATTTTACTTTAAAGAGGAAATATTATGCTAATTTCCAGGTTCATATTTGTATTTCGTGCCTCTATTGTGACATGTCTCCATGTTCAAAAAGGTCTTTATTGTTCTCATACTGCCTGTGGTGCAGCACCTCTTTTCACCCTCTGTCTGAAACCAGGGCCCAGTCTGCTCTGATTGGTTAACTGGGCGGCTCTGTTGAGATTGCACAATCTCTTAGAGATGTCCCACACCTTAGCCATATCACATACAATTTGCTGGAGCGCTAGCCAATAAAGGGGCTGGTGTTACGTAGTGATGTCATTATGTTGCGGAAGTAAACATACAGACTCCAATGGATGTGTTCCTACATGCATACAAACCTATATAACACACCAAAGGAAAGTGAAAAACATAAAAGGGCCCTTCCTTCTGCCATACGAAACAAGATTTACAAAGAGAGAAAGAAGCAGCCATCAATATGAGAGAGAGAAATACATCAGAAGGGGAGATGAAATGAACTAGGGGCGAGAAAAGGCAATGATGCTGCATCTCGCTTAATTCTAATACCAAACCTGCAGCCTTAAGTGCATGGAGATGTACTTCTCTCCGTGCACTTATATCAGCACACTCCAGATTTAGAAGCAGCACATTAGGGTCCCAGGGAGAGAAGCTATCACGCTCTCTGACTAACACTATCTAATGGCAGTATCATTTGAAAGGTAATAGAGAGGAAGAGCAGAGGCCGGTCTGCCGCTTTATCGCTTTGAAATAAAGGTAAGTGTTTGGAATAATTATCGAGCTTCCATGTGCTGCGTTTCTTGGATAATGGAGGGTGTGCTGCATGGTTGCTTTTGAAAATTAGATAATGAGAAGTGAAGCTTGAGTTATGAGACGAAAGCTTCATTGTTAGCCGCTTCATTAAAACTGTATTATGTTAATAATATAATGTGTGTATAGGCCTACAGTACTCTGTCTCCTGGTGAGTGCTGTCAGTGATGAGAAGATTCTTTACCAGAAAATCATTCAACAGTTTTACCTTGTTTGTTGTATTGCACAATTGCTGATAAAGAGTATGTTTCATTTGATTTATCTCAGGTAATAAATACAATACTGACATATTAACCTGTTACAGTATATTACATGTGTGAGTGGTGGAATGTATTGGACTTAAGCACAATTCTGAGGTACTTGTACTTAAACATAAATATCCAGCAGTAACAAAAATAAAATGTATATTACCATTACCTTTACTATCTGTGATATAGACACATTAATACATCAATAATTACAATCTGCATTTAATGACATTATTTTTGAATTGGGAAATGATGCTTAACAAGTACTTTTACTTTTGGCTATTTAGTATATTTTAATGCTAATGTTTTTGTACTCAAGCAAGATTTGAAATGCAAGACTTCTACTTGTAACAGAAAAAAACAAAAGTGTAAAATCTGAGCACATCCTCTGCATGTTCTTGATGTGGTTGTTGTTGTGTCCTGTCTGCAGACGGAGCAGCCGTTACCTGCGGGGGGGTGTGGGGCTGTAGTTCCTGGCTGTGGAGCTGGAGGGCAGCGTGGTGCTCTTCTTCAGGGAGGCAGCGCTGGAGGGCAACAGAGAGGGCCTGGACGGCAGAGCCAGAGACACTGGCCGGGCTACACACACACACACAAACACACACACACACACACACACACACACACACACACACACACACACACACATACACACACAACACACACACACACACACACATACACACATACATACACACACACACACACACACACACACACACACACACACACACACACACACACACACACACACACACGTAATGTTATCAACAAGCCCGTAGCAGACTAATGTACCTTTCAAGGTTTGTTTTTTTACCAAGATTTGTCTTTTCCATCTTTTCCTACTGTTAGGAATTGACTATTCACTAAGCACTTAGTTACTGTTGCTATGCCTTCTAAGCCTTGTATTCTTGCCAAACTCAGGTTGTTTGTAATTTTGAAAGATTTGTCAACATGTGCGGTTCTAGAGGGGGGCCAACAGGAGCCAATGCCCCTGTAACGCTGAGTTTTAACACCCCTCTGGCCCCCCTCAGAAAGAAGAGTCTATGGTGATACCAATGTGATTGTGTGGCAGCAAAGACTTTGCTTAATAACACAAAAAAACAAACCTTTTTTCAGCATTATAAAAGTATTTTTCTCAATGCAAATGGCTTAAATCCCCACCCAGATCTCGTCTCACCTTTAGCACCTGATGTTCTCCTGCCACCAGCAGCAGCTGCTTGGTGCTCCTCAGAGATGTTGAGCCTCTTGAGAACATCTGCCAGGGCCATCTTCAACAGCTGGATTTCATCTTCCTGCATCTGCATCCTCTGCTCCAGATAGGTGAGCCGATCCACCACATCCAGGCCACTGGCTGAGCTGCGGTCATCTGAAGGATAAATACATAGCCAGGATTATCTTGTTGGTTTGTTATGCTTTTCCACGGCGTTACGTAACTGAGGACATGATTAACATCCATTAGAAAAACCAGCAGAAGAATCCGAAGCATCCATTTAACATTTGCCAGCCTCTTAACCATGTCTAAAAATGTTTAAAGGCACGTTTTTCACAGAGCAAAAGAAAGAAACAGTCAGTGAACCTTTGTCAACACACACACACACACACACACACACACACACACACACACACACACATCCACCCACCCACACACACACACACACACACACACACACACCACACACACACACACACACACACACACACACACACACACACACACACACACACACACACACACACACACACACACACACACACACACACACACACACACACACACACACACACACACACACACACACAAAAGAGGGAAAGTACGATGCCAAGGAAGAAATTAATATGCAATTGATTCACTATTTGGTGACAGAAAATCTTGAGTATGAAAGAAAAAAGCGTGTAGTTGCAACAGTCTAATAGAAGTAAAGAAAAGTACTTCCCCATTCAAAAACCTTAGCCAAAGACTTATTGATTAAATTCTACTATAAATGCTTTTTCAAGGATCAACTCCTTTGGCAACAAGATATAAACATAATCAGAGAAAGGAATAAGCTCTTTAACATCCCCTGTTCGTGCTTATGTAGCAAAAATCAAGCTAATGAGGTCACAGCACAGCTGGACAGCAGATCATAACACTGTCATCTCACAGCAGCATGTAAACAAAGGTAGCGCACATTTAAAAACACTGTCACCAACACACTATGATTTCCCTTTCAATCCGTGTTGGTATTTATACTTTTAATGTAGTTAATCATCAGCCCAACACAGTAACAATAGATCAGAGGTGAATACCGTGGGAGACACTGGACTGCGATGAGGAGGCAGGGGGCCTCTGGGGGGCAGCTGGGCCCTCTGTCATTACACCGGACGTCTTCCTCCTCTTCCTCTCCTCCCGCGAGCACAATCTCTCGCTCCTCTTTCCTTCTCTGGCTTTAGTCTGATAGCTTGGTTCTCCCTCCATCTGATTCTGATCCACTGGCTGGTGTCCACTAAGATCTCATCTCCTTTGCTCCACTTATGTCACACACACTGTAACACTCACACACACTGCAACACAGCAGCCTCCTCTTACAGCATCCAGGCAGTATTACATTGGTGGTCGCTTGATACCCTCTGGGACACACTGATGTGTATGACAGCGCTTTAAAGCCCTTTTGCTCAGGGTGTGTATTTATATAAAAGGTGGGGGTGGGGTTGATAATGCTTAAACTCAGCAGTCGTCCAATTCAACCTAAATTGTCTGTGCACATGCTTGTGTGTGTGTGTGTGTATGTGGGTGTGCAGACTACAATGATAATCCTTCAGACTGAGCCTCTTTGACCACGCCCCCACAGATAAACCCCATGTGGCTATGAGGGATGGAGACACGAGAGGAAACAACAGAGATAAACCTGAAATGGGGCCTGGGCTGGCGTTGCGCTTCAGTGAACATTTCGTTCATCCTCGGAGTTACAGAGGTCACAGGGCAGGTCACTCTGAGTAATAAGGAGGATGAAGAGGAGGCGACATGTAAAAAACAATGCTTTAGTGTCTTCAAGGATGAACTCCAGGGCTCAAAACAAACACAGGAATAAGGATCAGTTACACAATCTGTGGCTATGTGTGTATTTCTTTTAAAAACTAAAATAAACCAATGATTTCCAACCAGTGTAGAAGAGCAGATGCTTCTGCAGTGACACGTACAAACAGTAATACTGTTGAATATATTTCAGATTTTTATAGAGCAGTGATTATGTTTTGATTAAAAAAGGAAAATCGCATACATTGTCAGCATACTGTATAACACCCGAACACCATGTGTTATGAGAGGGCTTAAAAACTAGCTGACAAGCAATTCAAACAGTTAGCTACAGTTAGCTACAGTTAGCTACAGTTAGCAAGTTAAAGAACTGTATGTATTATAGAAATAAATGGATACATAGTAGAAGTATAGTTTGCTAAAAGTAACAACTAGAGGGGTAAAAAAGTTCATTAAAAGTAATAGATACAGATAGCCAAAAGCAGTAGAAAAGGAGTTTCAAAAAGAGTTAGATACCCGAATGGGTAAGGGGAAGAAATTGTTAAGTAATACATAGTTTGCTAAAAGCAATAGATAATTGGTAAAGAAAAGAGAAATGGTTGGATGGCTGATTTTAACATACAGTGTGGTTAAAATAAATAAAAGTACAGGGATGTGGAAGTATATCTGATCAAAAAGGTGGATAACCTTTGAAATGTTTTCATGAGAAAGTTTAGTTTAGTTTTGATGAAGCCTCAAAACCTGATTTTTGTAAGATACGAGCATATCATACCATTTTTTGTATCTATGTTCTTGGTTAGATAGCCTGCATGAGTTTTCCCTCTTGAAACAGATAATCTGCTGTGGGTGCAGACTTTCATTAACTGTGTATTTATTGGAGCATGAAGCCCGCAGTAATCTGTTTCTCATGCAGCATTGTGACTTTGTGTAGGCCTGCACGGTGGTTTCGTGTTTCTCTTCTTCTCCTGGCTGTGATCATATCCTCGTGCCACCTCCACGCACCCTATATGGGATTGGGATTAGAATAGCACATAATCCCAACGCTGTAAAAGGGAATTAGCAGCCCAAAGCTCAATCTCTGCACCAACTCAGCTATACAAAAGAAGAAACAGAAAGGCTCGATGAAAGATGCTTTTCATGCAAATGTAAACACACAAACAAACATGAAGTATGTCTCTGTGCCTCTGACTCACTCACACGCACATGCACACACAGCGCTAACAGTTTCAAAATGTACACGCCTATTATGAATCTTAGCTAAATGAAAATACATGAAGGCATAACTCCGGCGTAGTGAAGCAGCAGAGTGTTTTAATCTGAGCTCGCAGATGGTGTTTCTTGAATGAAGAACCAGCATCTGTCTGCTCATATCAGCACCTTGCATGCTGACACATACAGGCCACAAGCAATCCTTCATAATAGTCCACAGATATTAATATCCCTCAGGGGAAGAGGCATTTCACTATTTTCTTTCCATCGCTGTACACACATCCCAACATGTGATGCATTGGACAGGTATGCAAGTGTTTATCTTTACAGTTAACTGAACATATATAGTAACAATGTCAAAGAAGATAGATTTTGAGGATCGATACAGAGTATGGAGTCTAATCTATTTTACTGCCCTGATAAAACAAATCATATATAAATGATCTTCTACTTCCGCCTTAAAGTGACTCAAACATGTTTTCTTCTGTCACCGGTTTTTCAGGGTTTTCATACTGCCATATAAAAAAGAATGTTAGACCTTGCCAGAAGGCAACATGTTGATCATAAAATCTCTAAATATCTTATACAAGATACTATTTGTATTCTGTTAAGGGTTTAAAAGTCCTGCGAAGTTGCAGCACAAGGCATAGAAACACTGTATTGTGTTGTTATAGTTTGTCCTGTCAGCCTTTCTTTTTAAAAGTCATTAATGAGTGTGTTTCAGTCCATGACAAATGCACAATGTCTGCATTCTTTCCAGGAATGTTGTGTTACTTACTTCTCACTTTTATATTACTTCACACATTATTTTCATGTTATCAAGTATCAAATTGGAAAAGCTAATTTATTCAAAGTCAAACATGTACGCATACCCATGTTGTGGTAAACACAGGGAGTGTAAACATGTCTTCTTGTTGATTGTATGCAGTCATACGTAATATTAAAAAGGTAAATAATGTTTAGTCATTGCTCTTTTTATTATTATCCATCAGTAAGTTTTGGTTTCATAAAATAATCTCTATGAATTGTCCATTTAAAAAAAGAAATGCAGTTGTTTGACCACCAAAAAGATGCATTTACCTCTATTTGCATTGCCGTTTAAACAAGCTCCACTCTGTACCTGTCATGAAGTCGGTGTCCGGTGCCAGCAGGGAGTCGCTGTGGTAGCTCTCCTTCAGCGAGGGTCTCCTCTGCGGGCTGTGGACCGTCTCCTCCATCCCCAGGCCGTGGTCCACCAGCTCCTCCATGTGTGAGTCCCCCTCCTCTACGCCCTCTGCCATGTTGACGAGTGCTCCTGCAGCGCTCCTACTAAAGCCTATACGCTTCACTGACGGGCTAATTCACCTACTCCTAAATCCACCAGTGGCCACAACCTCTCGCTTTCCCTCCCTCCCTCTCCCCCCACTGTCCTGTAAGGAGGGTGTGCAGGGTGATGTCACTCAGAGAGGACAGATTAGGGACCTGGTAAGCCATCTGAAGCTCTGGGGAGAACAACACTATGAGCCCGGTGAATGTGTGTGTGGTAGAGACGCCTCACTGTGGGAAACATCTTCTAAATATAAGTGAAAAGGGTATAAAAATAATCTGTTCAGTTCAATACAACTTTTTTTTGTGTTACATTTTTCCTGAAATGCTTTTTTTTTTTTTAAATATTCAAATGAGTCACATCTTGCTAAATATGATCTAATTTGCATATTTTCTGGATGTATTGTACAATCCCATACACTTTGAGTTTTACAATACAGGTGAATAGGGTGAAAAATGTAATTTATGAAATCCCCAGAAGATTACTAACGTCTCATTTTTTGTATAAGATGATTTTTAACATTTGATGTTTACATATGCAAATGAGACATTATGTGCACACTTTTTGTTATTTAGGACAAATCTACAGGAGCAAATTCAAACAAATATATATTACATTTAAGGGATGTGTTCCTTGTTTTCTGAAAGAAGACATGTTTGGGAAAATAAAATTCACCATGAATTAACAATGTGTGTCCCGACTTAAAGGCCCAAAAATAACTTCCTGAAAGATAAGCACCATAACTTCTCTCTGCTGACATACTGCTACTGCTTCGAGGAGGAAACAATGTGTAACTATAACTGAACTGTGTGATGAATATCCACATGTAAAAAAGACACAGCAGGGGGAGATCACACAATTTGCTGTTGCATGCAAAGTTGCAGACAAGCACACAACTGCTCTCCCAGAAAGAGCTTACATCAGGCTGCCATCCGGTGTGGCCGGCCCTGGTGCACTGTTAGGATGATGAGATTCTGAGATTAGGGAGCAGAACTTGATTAATTACAGTCATCAAGAGGACAATAAGCCGGATGTGGTAATTAGACCAACAGAGAAAGACAACAGGAGCAGAAGAAAAGCCTGTTTGACGATTGTCGGGGTTACCCCCGGTGTAAGCTGACATGTTGTCTATTTTGCATTCGCTGGATTCTTTCTCCAGCAGCTGCTTCTCTTTGCTGATGTGTCAAAAGATTCTGGCCACATAGCGGAAGCTTCCATAGCCCTGAATAATACATTTCTCTTTCTGATCACAAAAGCCTACATTCTAATGAAAGCATTGTAGAGCATTGAGCAAATGGGACTTTGTTATTAAAGCAACTCCAGAAACTTCATTTGGTGTTGATTCTGGCGGCCCCTGTGGACAAAACTCATGTTTTCATAGAAGAAAGGCTGCATTTCTCATGAGCACCACCGCCTAGTGTCTGGAGATGTTGACACAGTAATGTGTTCATTTGTGTAAAAAGTGAAAGAGGAACGCAATTTCTTTTTAAAAGAAATGAATAAACCTTTGACTAAAGAACTAATAAATTATTAGTTTTATGTCTCGCAAAGTATTTCATGATTCAAAGAGTTCAGTATAGAAAGAAGACGACCAATTCAGGATCTGGTCAATTTTCTCTCTTTTTTTTTTAGTCGTGGTTAATCCTGGCCTAGTATTAATTATAACCACACAATTTAACATCAAAATCAAACATCTCTACGCCACTGTTGTTTATTTCTTAAGAGAATAACAAACACATGTTGTTTGATCCTACCACAATTAATGATCATCATTTTGCAGTCCAATTTGTGAAGAAAACAAGACAATAATAAACATTGGTTATATAAACAACAACAAGAGAGAACTATAATAGAAATAATAAATTAGGATGTGGCATAACCATAGACTGTATATATAAAGGGCATAACCCACATTTAAAGGATACCGCAATCATTTAAATAAGGCTCAGTAATGCAATTCAAACCAGATCTGTGCTTTTTGCTCATTGTGATTAATATTCTTGCATTCATTTTTAATACCTGTACATGCCGGTGTGTCTACATTATATATATAGTTCTCATTCTTATTACTTTGCAATTCAGAATTGAATCCCACCAGCCTTGTAAAATGTTTTAACCAGAGGCAAATTGTTTATGTGCAAAGAATAGGTCCTAGTTCGAATGAAGATAAAGTTATTACCTATATATTTTGTATACTTACCTTGAGTGAGACTCTATAACACTGCAATTTCCCATTAGGATCTAAACAGAACTCTATCATTTATCGAACCAGTCTCCTTTCCTTCCATCTACCCACCTTAATATCCCAAGTAAAATCCAAAAAAATAAGGAATTGGAAGACGACAAGATAAGTATGTAGTCTTCATGAAAAAAGGACAATATGGGAAGAAAAACTGACTCACTGACAACACAATACATTTACCGTGCTGCCTCATATACACCACCAAGTCTACAGGCTTTGGAGGTCAAAGTGTGTTGCTGGTTGTATTATGAGACACAAATCTTGTGCTGTGGCTTCTGTTTAACAGACACTAAGGTGTGTGTGTGTGTCGTGTGGCCTGAACGGGGTTAAAGGCCAAAGACAGATAATGACTGTGCTGACAGAGGACACTTGGAGAGATGGTAACACAGGCGAGGGACAGGAAGAGGTTGAAACCTGTCTCCTGCTGTATTAAAATGAACAGATGACCATGTTCTGTATGCCATGTGGTGCCTAAATGAAAAGGTCAAAGAGGGTTTGACCCTGAGCCGTGCATGCTACTCACTACTGACCTCCTGTGGGGATTACTCAGCATCACAGCTGCTTTTTGGAAGAACTTTACAGACTTCCTATTGATCACATGCAGTCAGAGCAGCTTCCATTTACGACACATAACGAAGAAATACACAAGTCAGTGAGTCAAATTGCATTTAAATGTAGTAAATAAAGATCCACACGCAGAATTTTCACAAAGGACTTAAAATTTATAAATATTCTTTCAACATTAAATCAGTAGGGATGTTATATAATTCTTCCAAAAAATCCAAGAGATCCTCAGAGAGCATGACAAAGTGACAATAATCTGATACACACATTGCTTCTCTACTCAAAAAATATCTAGACTTTTTACTGCGCATAATCCCCCGTTTCTTCCAAATGTATCAAAATATATGTTGACAATAAGCATCGATACAGACCACACAGAAAGCAGAATCTCATCGTTCGGTCGGGTGCTTTTGTTTTTTCGAGTGAACACACTTCCTGTGTGGCATCACTAAAGGTCACTCAGTGTTTGACCCCTGCCACTATGTACACCCTACGTGCACAGAAACCCCTCCCCAGTGCTGGCCCTGCCTTGTTGCCATGGCTGTGTCCATGCAAAGCTGCTAGAAAAGTCACATAAATAATAACATACAATCTAGTCCATGCTTTCTGCAGGGCTGGCCAACACTCGGGAGGATTACTCATGGCGACTTCCTTTTAATGAGAGTTCTTCGTCTCCTTTTCTCCTGCATCACTCTTAGTAGCAAAAAGACAAGGATGCATTGACAGAAAACGAGGGAGGAAGCTGCGTTGGGAGGTGGCCATGAGACAGTTCTGCACACACAGGGTTCCTGCCCTCTAGGGGACAAACACAGTCAATGCACATCTGGGAGAAAGGCAACGGTGGCCAGCTGATTTGGATGCTGGGAGAAGCTGTTCAGCAAATCATCAAATCCACCGACTCATTTATTATATTCAGAGTCCTTCACTTCTTGTAAGATCACTGGAAAACCTTGTAGTTTTAATGACTTGAGTAAGGGACTGTGTGAAAATCATAAGAGTGCGGAGGACAGAACAAACCTGCATTTTATTTTATAAAAAAAGCAACGTCCTCCAAATAACTATTATTGTATTTTTTACCGCCACTTTAAAAATGAAAATGTTTAAAGTGACCCATTAGAATCTTACAAATGATACATTTTTTGCAGAGATTAAAACGGGAAAACACAAACAAACAGTCTATTGGTGCTAATACACTTTTTCAATCTAAAGTTACATCAAAAATAGAATTCTTGGGTGAGATCACCATCCCCTGCTCTCCTAAAATAAATTGAGTCCCGCCCCTTAAGAACACTTATAAACACATAACCCGGCACAAGTAATTCTAATTTTCATACAGTCCCTAATTCCCGACACTCCATGAAAACTCTCTACAATATTGTGCTAAATTTAGAGAAGGGAAACTGGTCTAGGACATAGACCAGTTTCCTTTCTCTAAATTTAGCACCCGAGGGATCTTCTACCTGGAGCCCAGAGGACGTACCGTCCTGTCTCAGTTGCACTGGCTCCGTCCCTCCCCTAATAGGACCAATCAATAAAGGCTCAGGTGACCATGTTGCCGGCATTCTCCCAAACGTCACTTAAGGTCAGTCAGGTTAGGCAGGAGAGCTAGAAGTCACCTCTTATCCAGAGATATAGGGTCAGATTCGACTTTTTAAGGATGAAAAGGGAATCAAATATGTGACTCCACTTCAGCCAGGGTGTGCTTTGGTCTGGTCTCCACCCACTGACGACTAAATGATATAAACACAACATTTACATCTCTTTCAACCACTTAATTTCTAAACTCATAAGTTACAAATAAACAGAACTAATTTCTATCCTGGAGCGCAAAGAAACAGGATATAGTTAATCAATAAGACACAGTATTTCCAAATAAGTTAAATTGAAATCTTAATATATTGTATTGTTAACTCCATTTAAATATCTCTTACTTTAAATATATTTATTACAGATCTTGCAAAAAAAATACTACACTGTGCATTGGCTGTCTGCTCGTTTAAAGAGTGCCCGGTGCTTCCTGGATTCAGATATGTACACTTCATTAGAAATCGCCTGGAAGGGAGTTCCTCACAGCGTTCTATCGACAACCTCGGGTCATGTGACTTCATTCTCCTCTTCCATTTGGTCAAATCTCAATTAACGCTGTGATGACTTCAATTTGAACTGAATCAAAAATAATGCATATTCTTATCTTGTTTTTTTAAGCTCATTTTCTAAAAATAGTACATCTAAAAATATATTGCATATGCCATCTTAGGAAAATCGACATAATAAAATAGTTTTAACAAGGAGAAATTGTAAAGTAGGAGAATATATATCACCTTTTTGAAGAATCTGGGCGTTAATAGACATAAAAAAAGACCCAATCATGGGGATTTTTGTTGGAGTAAGAGGACTCGGTCTACTCGAATAGAGAAAAGATGGCTTTAGAGTGTTAGAAAGTTTTTTACGGCTTATCCAATGTTGCAGAGCGGGGTGTTTGCAGTGTAGGCAAGCAATCGGGTACTCTCTATGTCTATAAGGTACACACACTCCGACGCCACTCGCTTTCTGAGTGACAGTAAAACACTTGCAGGTTAAAAGGCAATGAATGAGTGTGGTGTGAAATCCTCCACGACTCAATTAAGTATCGAACACCCTCCCACGCATTCCCACCCCCCTTCAATCCAAATACACGTCTACTGCTGCTACGTTTGTCCACACAACGCGTCAGGCCTCCACCCAGATGCCTTTTTCAAATCTAAATCACATTAACAGTGTGAATACATACATATATATACTCTATATTTATATAAGTATGTCAGAGCTGATTGAAAAATGAAATGGAATGACTCTAGTAATATATATATATATATATATATATATATATATATATATATATATATATATATATATATATATATACATATATATATACACACTCATATATATACCGTATATTTTCCATGGGATTCAACAGGTTGTGCAACATGCTGACACGTTGGCCGATTCCTCTACGGGTGAAATAATAGAAATATACAGTTTGCACTGACAAAAAGCAGCCATGACATCTTTACTGTTTCCTTCTCTACCAAACACACACACACACACACATAAATAATACACTGTAGGTCCCCCCGCGGATATATTAGTAGCTGGAACATAAAAAAAGAAGAAGTTTGTTGTAATTAAGGAATGGATTAGTGCAATATAATAAAGGGAAGTGCTGACGAGGAGGAGAAGCGCGAGGGAGGGAGACGGGGACTCTGGCTTGTGTGACATCCTTTGGTTTATCTTCGGGGGGAGGAGGAAGAAAAATAATTGGTGTGGATGTAGAATTAGAGCATGTACAAAATAAGTTTCCCAGATGTTTCAGGGGGTAACACGGGCAACCAGCAGAGGCAGGAGAAGTGTTTCTAACCAGGTAAGAGATGCAAAAATTAGTCAGTTAATTGTCTAGCCGATTGACTGGAAATTAATCTGCAACTATTCTGATAATTTGAGTCATTTCAGAAATGCCAAATATGGCCTGATTCTATTCAGTTAGTTTGATGGCTTTTATGTGTTTGAACATCTTTGGGTGTAGAAGTCAACTCTGGCTGTTGGAAATGATTTCCTTTCACTATTTTGAGACATTTAATTGACAAAAGGGTTAATTAATAATAATTTTAAAAAAATCATTGGCTCAGCCCTAAACCGGTGCATTTTGTCTACTGATCATTTCACAGCTGTCAATCAGATAATCTTTTTCTTAGAATAAATGTGTTCTTCCTTCTGTAGTTGCATGTGGGGACTAGCAGCATAAAGCTATATCTGCAAGTCATAAGGCAGAGAAAAGCCATGGTGGAAAAATACAAGAAAAAACGATGAAGACGTCTCTATAAGCCTTTGCAGGACTCAGGAGCGTCCCGGTTCCTCAGTTAAGGTACAGTAACTCTTTCTATTGGGCAGTTAGTAGAACCTCTCTAGAACAAGGCTTCTTTAAAGGAGGACCATAGCTGAGATTCAAACATTTGTTTTAACTAATAAAATCAGTTTAGTGCCGTTTTGAGTGTCCAGACCAAAGCCTTGTTCTAGAGTTGAGTTTGGTAAGGAATAATCTCACAACCCCCTTAGGTACAGTATTCTAGTTTATGCAGGGCCTCACTGGAGATGAAAATGTATCTGTGGCACACTGAAAGAGAGGATGGGCAGAGAGAGAGAGAGAGAGAGAGAGCTCCGCTTCCTCTAAAGCTGCTTGTTTGGTTTGATTGCCTGAAAGCCTCCTTAAAAAAAAAAACATCACACACCCACATTTATCCATTTATCCACACTGACAAACACTCGGTCTCCCACTCTCTCTTTCACACACTAAGAAACACCCAACTCAAATCGGGGAGAAATAAGACGACACTCTCCATTAGCTGCTCCTTCACCCCGGCTGGTTGAACACCGTTAACATTGAGCTGACAACGCAGGCTTGTGTCCTCCCGGAAGCACCTTAGCGCCGGACCATTACTGAGCCGTTGGCTTACAAATGGAACAAACATGATTGTGGTGCTAAGATGCTTTGGGGGGAAACGCGGCCCTGACAGGAGCCCAGTTCAGCCTGGTGTTCTGCATTCCTGGCAGGCGAGGGGAGGGACGCACGCGAGCCTCCGTGTATCCCAGAGTGCTGTGGTAGCTGATGAATGAACATTCCTCGCTCTTTAGAAACCAGGAAGTGACGGTGCTCTGACAGAGACGGATTCTATCGCATTGTAACCCCTCTGTAGTCAACTAAAGGGATCTGTGCTTCATAATGTGTCAAACACGTTTTGCTTCTTCCCTCAAAAAGCCCACCCTATCATCGCCCTTCCCTGTGGTCGTGAGCATCCCTAGCAGAAAAGACAGGGGTTTTCAGTCCTTCATCTACTGATCCCCCCCCCCCCCCCGACCACTGCCTCTGTGCAGGAGGGGGGAGCTATGCTATGATTAATTTAAGCACCCCGTCTAACCCTCTACTGCAGGTTCTTCAGGATGCGTCCAAATCGGTAGTCGTACACGTGCCGGCAGAGATACACCAGCTCGGGGTCGACGTCTGTGGGCACACAGCGGTGGGAGGGGGGGGCGAAGTCGGCACGGCAGGGCACCACGCTGGCACTGCCAGGTGGGGCGCCTTCGGCACGCCACTTCACCAAGGCACAAAATCTGAAAAATAAATCACCAAAGGTCATATTAAATCAAACACAAATCAAATGTATCATCGCGGTGCCGTAGCTTTATTTAAGAGTAACGATTTACTAAACCCAAAACAGATACGGCCTAGTGTTCCCTTAATTTATTAACAGTTGCAGTGTCAACCATGTGTGATAAGAAAAGTCAGAAAACAGGCGAACACATATCAAAGAAGGAGAGGTGTTAATTAAAAGGACCTTTTGAAAAGACTTTCTGCTATGTATGTGTGTGTGTGTGTGTGTGTGTGTGTGTGTGTGTGTGTGTGTGTGTGTGTGTGTGTGTGTGTGTGTGTGTGTGTGTACGTGTGTACTTACCTACAGTACTGGGCTAATGGGAGAACGTAGCATCTGTCTTCTATGCAGGCCACACTATTTTCATCCTGATGCCGAGAGGCGAAAATCTCATTCTGAAACCAACAGTGGGTGTACAATGTCACATCAACACAAGTGTCTCCTGTAGCGCAAGCTGAGGGCTGAAGAAATGACAACGCTCTTTAACTGTGAGCACAGAGGAGAGAGTAATTGTTCATGTGCGATAAAACCGCTCCTGTGTTTCCACTCTACATGCCACCACCACATGAAAAAACCTGCTGTACTCCACACATGCTGTAAACATCCGTGTTGAATAGAAACATAAGCGGAGTTTCACTTTCTCATGGTGGAATTGCTCTCCTCTCTTTCTCTTTGTTTGTGCAGCACCGAGGTGGCAGAGATATCATCATTTGGCATTGTGGGTACACTGAGGTGCTACCCAACTTTCAACAGTGGCATGGCTGCTGAGGGGGAGATAATAATGTTTCCAGCAGCAGTTGCACATTTGTTTTGCTAACTTATATTAAACAAATGTATCACAAATCATCTATTATAACAAAACCAATAAATATGTTATGCAAGTAATGCAAGGGAAATAATATTTTCTCCCACAATCCCATCATACAAAATGTAAGCCTATGTTGTGAAATGTGAACACAGCTGTTCCACTTACACAACATTTTTTTATTAATTAAATAATTGAATGTTATTTTTTTTTCTAATTAAATACATTTAGGAATTTTAACTGGTACAACTTTAAAGACTATTTTCACCCTCTGTTTGAAACCAGAGCCCAGTCTGCTCTGATTGGTTAACTAGCTGGCTCTGTAGTGATTTGGCAACAGCTAAGAGATGTCCCGCCCTTTAGCCTGTCACGTACAATGTGTTGGAGCGCTAGCCAATAGAAGCGCAAGTGTTACATATTGATGTTATTAGAAGTAAACAGAGGTGTCCAATGGAGGCGTTTCAGGCAGGGGGGCGGGAGGGATTTTAGCTTTCTCAGAACAGGGTGAGGGAAGGGAAAACCCCAAAATGCATAATAGGGCCTCTATAAATATTTTCTAAACAAATATATGATCACTAACAGCGTGTAATTATTAACCTGGTGTGTTCAGTATGGTGGAAGTAAATGGATACATTGTACAGTTAATGTCACTATGGTGGCTTTTCAGGAAAAACTATGGTGCTTAAAGTGATTAATAATAAAAACATCAATTTCAAGTATTCAAGCATTTGTGTTAATCTGAAACAATAATATAAATTCTTACAATACCTTTCTCTCACACTGTCTCGCTCCTTTTTTGACTAGCTTGGTTTATTATTGAACATTCTGGGGCTCTATGATAGGACAGTACCAATTGTAAATAACTGTATGATGACTAAACTAATGATATTAAATACTGTCAAATACTCATTACCCATTAAGTGGACACATCTTGAAATGTGTTTACCTCAGTTTATCTGTTTTTAAAAAGAGGACAAAGTATTTCCAATGTGCAGTTTCCGTTTTGCAAAACTGTCATTTGCCCGCTGGCCAACATTAAACGAAGCCTCACCTCACAGTGTGTGCTGGGATCTCGGCCTCCCTGTGTGTGCTCAGGTCTGTAGTACCAGAAAAGACTCATCATCAGCTCTCCTGAGGAGGCAAATAGCACACACACACACACGTAAACAAACATGGCCACATGTCCCTTCGTCAGTCCATCCACCATATCTATCTGTGATCTCCCCCTCCTCGTCTCCCTTACCTGTTTTGGGGTCCTCCCACAGCGATGATATCTTGGCAACATATGGGAGTGATTTCTTCCTGGGGCCTGATCGTAGCAGCACAGTGTCTCTGACATGTATCACTTCACCGTCCCTCTCCACTCCTTCATAACACTGCCGCAGGGCTATCTCATCCTCTCCCTGAGACAGACACATTCACATGCACACATACACACCCACAAGGACAGATATCATTCTCATTACAAAGACAAAAAGGAATCTGTCACATGAAGCTGTGTGGTCAAAACACAATTATCTTTACCACCTAGAGCTGATTTTTTTATTTTTTTGCCAGGCAGCTGCGAGGATGCTTTTCCTAGCAGGGTCTTATCAGGAAGTGGAATAGGAGAGAAAAAGTCTCACTAGAGAGACAAACAGAATAAAGCTCTCTTATATCTTGCTCATCTTCTCCACTAGAAGACACACTCACAAATAACGTACCGCTATAAAGACTTCTCTCTCCGTGGGCATTCCCACAGGCCGCCAACCGTTGGTGGCACGTCTTCGGCTGACTCTCTTTTGTTTGGTGCTGCTGAAGCTTGGCAAGGTCAACGGTTGTTTCTGGGGCAGCCGTGTGCGGCCGATGGACCGGGAGCCGTTGGAGGGCTTGTTGCTCTGTGGGCATTCAGGGGCCAGCTTTAACCTGGCCTGCGGCTTGTCTCGCCCTGACAGGTGGGGTTTGGTCTGAGTGGAAGTGGGCATGCTGGATAGAGGACAGCTGGAGATGGGCATGGAAGGGGGAACCAGAAGGGAGGGGCTGTGGTCACCCTGAGGGGAGGAGTAACCCTCTGGAAAAGTAAAGGGTGAACGTTACAATTATACAGCAAGAAAGCTAAATATCACATTTTCACTTACAGCTAGACCATGTCACATTTACAAGACTAAACTAATCACTTCAGTTTACTCGGGTGTTTTGTTACAGACTTACTAGGTGATTTATCACCAGTATCTTAAATTAGCTAAAGTTAGCAAACTTTAAGTTGCAGTTGCATAAGTGCAAAGCATAATTTAAGTGGCAAATTGCATGGTTCCACCGTGAAACACATGTAAAACAACCTGCTTCCTTTATCTTATTTACAATTGTTACGGAAGGAATTACATATAAGCCAACAGCTCCTTATCAATGAATTGAATATCTAAGTCAGAGCCTCAAGCAAAAGGACACTTTCAAAGCTAATAACAACAACAAAAAGACAACAACAAAATTAAGAAGGTTCACACTTGTTGGGCCACACAACAAGCCTGAGGCAAGTTTTACAACAAAGGACTCTTTAGTTCTTTAATTTATACCATGATAACATTGGGATATGGGGAAAGGTGCTTCAGATGTGATTGAAAAATGTAGTTGTTTAGACATTTCCAGTTCCAGTTGTTTAACATGATATTGACAATTTACTTCATTCATCTGCAGCTCCACTTGCTTGGAACAATCTTCAGCAAGAATTGAAACTGAGCAATCTCATTCCTCAGCATGTTTTTAAAGCTAGGCTAAATGAAATGCTCGTTGATACTATGGGCACTTGTAAATGTCTATAACTATGTAAATGTATCCTGTAAATATAATGTATGATGTCCTTTATTGTTTTATGTTTCATGTGGAACCTATATGCTGCAAGTCTCCCTTGAAAAAGAGATCTATGATCTCAATGGGACCAATCTGGTTAAATAAAGGTTTGAATGAATGAATGAATGAAAGTGGAATCAGCTCAAATACGTAATCTATTTATTTTTTCCACTCACCTGTTTTGATGCTGTGTGTGCATTCAGTGCATCCTGTACTGAAAGAACATCCCCTGCTGGTGACGGGAGGCATGGCTCTGTAGGTGTAGCCACTGATCCCGCAGGCTTCACCATAGCAGGGCGAAGCCACCGAGTTGCAGTAGGCAGAGTGGGTCAGCCCCGAGCCGTGGGACACCTGCGGACCCAGCAGCTTGGAGCTATTCGTCCGATTAGGGCATAAACCGGAAGGGGGGAAGTTCAGAGGTTGCGGGGCCAGGCCTGCTGACGATGTTCCAGTGTGTGTCGGGTGGGCGATATGAACGTAGTAGCTAGAGAAGCAGTGGTCGGCGGTGCAGAGGCAGGAGTGTGGGCTGAGGGTCAGAGCTGTGTGTGGGTGGGAATGCGTCAGGGACGGTGAGGTTACGAGGCACTCGCGATTCACAGGGGTTATGGCTGAGTTAAGTGGCTGATCGTCTGATTCTCCGTAGGGCTGCTGGCCCAGGAAGAAGGCCAAGCGGTGGCAGTATTCCATTGAGCCCTCTGGCGGACAGCAGTAGTATGGGCTCATTTCGGTCTCCAGAGGCTCTTCCTTCACTTGCTTTAGCGGGTATGCTAGCATGCTGCGTGACTGGTACCCTGGTTTGGTCAGTCGATGGGTGCAGTTGCCGGTATCCCACTCCACTTTGGGCTCAAAGTCCGCCTTATTCTTGCAGGCTGCGCACCCACTGTGCAGGGCAGGGACCTTTTTCCCCTTCTGTTTTTGTGAGCATCCCTTGTGTTTGAGTTTGACCCTTGAGAGTTGTTTTGGGGTTTTGACCAAAGCAGAAGCATTGCAGTCAGTTGTGATAGTAGCTGTGGGTGCAGCCTTTACTCTCTGTTTACTGGTAGCAGAGGAGCTAGTTAACTTTAGCAGGGCTGCAGCGTTAAGTCCAGCCAATCGTCTGGGGGCGGGGGCATCCAGACTCTCCAGGCTCATCCCCCCGCTCTCTGCTTGGTTGGCTTTGGCCTTCTGGACATGCTTAGAGCTTTGACACAGTTCAAGTTTGGGCGTCTTTGAGGATTTAGTGATGGTTCCACGCGTACCCTTTATACCTCCAGGGACACCACTCCTGGTTGGATTTGCATCCAAGGCAGACCGTCCATTTGTGGACTCTTCCTGTCTCCTGGCCAGTTTAGCTGCCACCTGAGCGTCAGAACCTCTTTCAAGCAGTAAACTGTTGACCGCCTCGGCGTTCAGGGAGGCCAGTCTGCGCTTGCGAGGTTCTGGGAAAAGAATAAACTCTCCATGACTAGGGCTTTTTGAATTTGATTTGGTTTTTGGTAATGACGTTGCCCCTTTTCTTTCACTGCTTTTCCCTTTTCTGGGTTTGGGATTGAGAGATGAATGTCTGCGTGAATCCTTTCGCGTGCTTTCTTTACAACTCTCCTGTTCGCGGATGCTTTCCTCCAATCGGGTAAGGAGGACATGACAGCTGAGCCCCTCCCCGTCTGAAGTCTCAGCCCTGCCTCGCAAAGGATACGACTTCCTGTCCCGTTTCTTGTCGCGCCTCCGGTCAAGTTTTCTGTTCTGATCAGATTTTTCTTTCTTCCCTGCCTTGTCATTCACACTCTTGACCTTAACTTTCTTCTGTTTGATGATCTCGCTTATCTTCTTTGTCCTCCCGAATCTAAGTGAGCGCTCAGTCCAGGTGTCGCCCATAGTGCCAACATGTGGTAAAGGAGGGCTGTTGTCCCACCGCTCAGCACTATAGTCGCTCTGCCTGAGGGAACCCTTCTGCCTTGCGTGAGTCATCACATGCTTCTCCACGGGGCCTAGAGATAAAGAGACCGACAAGTGGTCAACAATGTGTTTGTCCTAGTTTCACCGTGTGCTTACAACGTTTAAAATCAACCGAGCAAAAACCAGTGATCTATACAGTGGTTCAAGTTACTTAGAAACAAAGCTTTAATTAGATCCAGAGAGCTGGTTCAGCCCTTCACTTGTAGAACATTTTAACACATCTCTATAGCTTTTGTTTCTTCAAAATCACAGACAGTTAAGATCAGCATTTTTCTGGCAGAGCAGGATTAATGGCCAGGGCAGACACTTAGGGAGTGGTAAAAGGAAGGGATTATGGACCAAGAAGGGACCATTAACACAACTTCAAACCTTTTGTATTGTCTTGACTCGAAACGAGCCAAAGCTGGATGGGACTGAAGTACAAAGAAAATGATAAAAGGCATGAAAACGAGCTGAACAAAGATATCGACTATTTGGCATAAGCACTCAGTTTGAATATAAACACCACAACATCAGATGCGATAATAAAAGTTGAACGATGAGACCAATGGTTTTGTGATCAGGCTGATTTGATCATATGGTGAGCTCTCAGCTTCTGAATGCCCGATTGTGATCCTCGAATTATAACGGGGTTTGTTTGTTTCATGTAGCAAAGAAGAAACTGATGCACTCTGTCATTCATTCACTGCTCTTGTTGCCTTATCACCTAGTGTGCACACAGAATGCAAATAACAGCTTCTTGCAGCCAATTGTTTAGTCTGAAATGTTAAGAGTGAAAGGAAAATGTCAAAAGGGAAAAACTACAATATGATGTTCAAATAGGAAAATAAGACAAAGCAAGCTAAGTCTACATTTGAACAAGGCAAAATTACAGTAGAAAATGTGTGTCTCAATGCATATATATATATATATTCATAGTTCGTATACATGATGAGAAAGGTAATATCATGCATACATCTCTGACACAATGTACTGTGAATACTCCCTGAGCTCATTGTAAAATCCTTTAGCAATTAAACTCCATTAGCAACAAACAATAAGCTTGGGAGTGTTCATGAAAAAAGACTCCCTGAGCTTGTTGTGAAATTGCAACAATAAACAACCGATGAATGACTCATGTGTTTAGGCAGGTGTTCCTTAGATAATGCACATATACAGACCATGATTTTACTTCGGTGCTCAGGGAAATGTTAATGCAGTGTATTTTTATACTGGAGCTCGAGTCATAAAGATGTATTGTCTGGTTAATAAGATGGGTAAACTTGAAAATATTTGCATTTTATAACAGTACACATGGTAGAATCTCCACCACACATCTCCCTATAGAGAATACAATTAAGAATGTTCTGCCATCCAAGTTTCTGAACTGAATGGAGATTTTTTTCTAACATAAAAGAGATTGCTTTTCGTACCCAATCCAATTATATAGTTACAACCGATCAATTAGGGTTGGGGTTATTTGATGTCAGGTGATATTTTCAAGAGATGTTTGTAAAATAGACCTGCGGTTTTTTTAGCTTAAAACTAGCTAGTCTGCTGGGATTTGGAGGTTTGGTTCGGCTGAATTCTTCATAGTTATGATAAAAAAAACTCTGAGGTCTCCCTCCGAGTAAACAATTTATCATTTTAAGGGCAGTTTATCACCTGGAAAAGCAGTCATCCCAGGCCAGGGCTTCTGTTCGGACTAGCATGGCTGTGTGAGGCTCTGATGCTTGATGCAGATTCCTCTATAATGTGAACTCATTCAGGACTTTGGCCAAACTGTTGGAGCCGACAAGATTTCTCAAACATGTTTGATTTCGTCTGACTGTGCTTGCGCAGTCTGTAGGAGGTTCAACATTTAAATGTCAGAAAGATCCAAGCCAATAGCCAATAAGAGTAAATCTCCAGGGTTAATGGACTACAACTCCCTAATCAGCATTTCCAAAAAGGTATTTAAAACAAATTGCATTATATTCATCACTCCACAACTGAGAAAACACAAAAGGTAGTACCTTGAAACACATTATTTTGGTTTATGTTTATGAATGATAACATCAGGTAGTATGTGATCTGTCATCTCAGTGCATGTCTTTGCGTCTTTTTCTTATCACAGGAAGGCTAGTTTTGGGCTTTGCTTATCTGAGAAGGGACATACACATCCAACCTTAACTTCAGAAGCTCTCCATACTTATTCCAGAAAACCAATCCAGAATCTGACAAATCAAGGATTTAAATGTACCTAAATAACAAAGAATGTTTAAAGCAACTCTCCTTTCTGAACAACAACCTTGATAATGAGCTTTTATCAAAAAAATGTAAACCCACAAAGATTCTTTTCCAGCGGCAGTTGCGGGTCACTGCTGAGAAGTGTAGGTGGGGGAACACTGGCGGGGATAACCTGTGAGATATTATCTCATGTGGCAGCGTTCTGGCTGAACAGCAATTTGGCTCTTTAAACAGTTAGGCCTGGTGATCCTCAGGAAGTAATCTCACAGTTACTGGAAGATCAATGACCCTGCGCTCTGTCTCTAATTGGTAAGAACATAGATCATCAGCTCCTTTCAGAGCATCAAACACCGGGCACACCAGGATACTTTTTTATGATAAAACCAGAATTCAGAAGAAAATGTGTGTAAAACAGTAACCCAGGGTAAGATCTATAGACTCCATTCATATTGTTGTACACTGAGAAACATCAAGCAACCATCAAAACAAACTTCAAATCTTTCAGTCCAACACAAGTTTCCTGCACGAGCTTCAACTATAAACATGCTTTAAATATTACAATATTTCCTTAAAAATAAATACAATCCAACACAGAGCACCATAATGTGAACAATCTCACATTAAGGCCACCACTGAGGACCAAAATGTGTCCTAAATGTATAACAATACAGATGTGATAATGAGATAAAACTGCCATGAAATATAAAGCAATCTCTTCAAACACTAAACAGAATACCAAACACTCATTGAGTCAAATGGGAAATATTACATGGAAATAATAATTTCCATGTTTACGATCAATAAAGTACATCAACATGACTATGTTATGGTGTGTCATAGCACAGCTACTCAAATATAAAGTAGGTTAAAAACTATTTATAAATGTATACAAAATTAATAAATACATGTTCATTTGTGATTATTTACCCCAACCTCCCCTTTTTCTGCCAAACCAGTTTTTTTTTTACAACCCTTAAATTGTATATTGCTCTTGTACTACACTTGTATAACATTTCTCAAATCAGGGATATGTGATTTTGTGGACAAATTGAAAACTCAAGTTCGATTTATTTCTATACGTTATGATAAGATGCCAAAAAAGAAAATATATGGCTTCATTGTAAGGTGTCAAAGGAAAAAAGGCTTATAAACCACTACATTATTCAACCAATAAGCCACATGCATTACACCATGCATAAACAACTGTTCTCTGAACAGAAACTACTACTGTCTGTACATGCTGCAATCTTTACCAACTCACCATCAGCCAATATTACACCTGCAATTAACACCCCAACTTTGAAGACTGAGCCAGAACACACATCACAGATAAATAACCAGCCATTGGGGAACGGATTGAGAAAGCTCTTATTTTATATTTCCCATGTCCCCAACAGCTAGCAGCTACGAGGTTCTGGCATGTTGAATTTATCAACAAGAGACAATCATTTCAAACATTAGGTCACTGTCTGGTGTTTTCCAAAAGACTTTGCATCGCAGCCTTGAGCTTGATCCATGCATCGGCTGAGATGTCGAGGGAGATTTCAAACACACATACCTGCATACATTTAACATGCGTAAACATATACATACAGACACCGTGGAATACAGTAGGATGATACAGTACAGCTTGACGTAGCTTGCCCATCTGAAGTAGCCAGCCAGGCTCTAAATATCGGCTGGAGGGGGGGGGGGGGGCTACCCGAATACACACACATACCAATCAGCAAAAATAAGGGGCACCTCTTGATCACATTTTTCTACCCGGATTCCTCACTTACCGACACCGTGGCTATTCTGGTCCCGTCCTGGTAGAGACCTGGGGAGGATATGGCACGTAGCAGGCAGCCCCGTGTATCGCTTCTGGTGCACGAAGCCGACAAAAGGGGTTCTGCGCTCCCTTCTTGGACGGCTGGGGCAGTCGGAACAAACTTCAAACATTCAGGGGCGAAAATAGCCACACAAAATAACCGAGCTGCTTAACTTACGGCTCGCCGACAGCGCTTCCTCCTGGCGCCGGGAAACCGTCGAACAAATCTTTGCGGGTACCGAGGAGGGGGAGGAAAGCCCGCCGGCCTGGCTGCGATGGCAGAGCTTCCGTAACTGGGAGAGCTGGGGGAGGGAGTGGAGAGAGGACGGTCGGTGGGCGCTGCCTGCTAGATGTGTGTGTGGTGTGTGTGTGTGTGTGTGTGTGTGTGTGTGGTGTGTGTGTGTGTGTGTGTGGCTGCTGTGTGTAGTGTGTGTGTGTGTGTGTGTGGTGTGGTGTGTGGTGTTGGTGTGTGTGTGTGTGTGTGTGTGTGTGTGTGTGTGTGTGTGTGTGTGCTCTTCCTGGTTGGGCTTCCACCGATTTGCACAGAAAAACTTCCTCTGAACCAATTGCCGGCCTGGTTTGACACCCCCGTCCTCCAATGACGGACACACAGCTGTTTATTGGACAAACTACACCTTTAATGTCCCGACGGAACTTCGTTAAAAACGCGGCGCGGTCTCATCACGGCCGATGGATATTACTGCCCCCCCCCCCCCCCCCCACCCCCACCACGACGACACACAGCCTCACCCTGTCATTTAACGTGACCAGACCACACCACGACCAGTGAACCACCAGACTGTTTAAACACGTCTGAAGAAATGCATATGAAGCCGAAAGGCATTTCACATGACATCCACAGTGTCCCATGTGGTGCGTGGGAGATATGGTTTTTAAACGCTTCCCATTTAATAAAGTTCTGATGAGTTATGGGATGTAAAGGCGCTTTAAATCAGCTCTGGACTGGTATCTTTACTGTATTCATGTTAACTTTGAGACATCAATCATTAAATA